TTTACAAAAATGCTCAATGAGGTAAAACAATATATATATATATATATATATATATATATATATATATATTAATTTCAAAATAGACAGTTTGAAGAAAAAATTTTATGATAGAATTACTTACCTATAAGTATCTAATTATTAGAACCCTTTAAGTGTGAATTTCTAATTAATTATTAGTAGTAGTTTTTATATGATAGAGTAGTTAAGAATGTACTAGTGCGTATCCCGTGCGACGCACGGATATATAAATTTAGAGAATATTATAATTTGACATGCATTAGATGTATGTGAGTTTAATACATACGGACATTATTCATCATAAAATGTTCGTCACGGAAAAAATTTATATTATTAAAAACTTCTTTGTACACAACATTATGAGTATGATTATTGGGTAACTCGTTGTGAGGAGCACGGGCCGACTCGAGCCGGACGCGGACTGCACAAAAGGCTGCGGAAACGGGGCCTCACTCAACTGGGCTCCCTTACTGGGCTTCTCTCCTGGGCTGCGGATGTTGATTGTTGTCGTCGAAAAAATTGCCTCCACGCTTGGACCACTTTTCTAATTTCCAACTGTATTATAAATTGTATTTTATTCCTACTTTAAATCTTTCATTCTTATTCTATGTAGATAGTTATTTTACATTCCCAACTATACTAATAAAGTATTGTTGATGTCGAAAATCGGACGATCAACTGTTGAATAGGAGTCGAATTACTTGTATAAAATTGAAGAACAATATGATAAAAAATGTGTGTTTTTATTGTATTATTTGGAGAGTATTTTTTACTCTCTCTTGGTGTTTTGTAGGGAGAAAAATACAAATGAGGAAGACCCACTCTCTCCTCTCTCTTCTCATATATATGCATGACCCATTTTGCAAGTGGGCTAATAAAAAATGGTTCACAATTATATAATGTGAAATAATCATCGTGGGGACCCAGTTATGACTTCTGACGGCTTCGATCGGCAGCTCCTGGCTAATCAGTCTCGAAAACCTTTTGTGTATTTATGTATTTTCGGCTCCTTGGTTATCGGGTCGCTCTTTATTATATTACTTACCATTTATTTAATATGAGCCAAATTGAGTATCAACAGGAGGCCCCCGAGTTTAGGGCATGTTCCGTAAGGAACTGTTCTAAAGTCGCATTTGCTCTTAACAATTTGGCAATGTTTTCGCCTCATAGTCTTTTAAGCTTCGGACTCCTTTTATTGCGTTAGGATTTACGCGTAATGAGAGATATTGGTGAAATCGCCAATATA